CTTTTCAAGCCCCCCAGAGGCGGGGGGAGCTTGGCTCTGGCTAAGCAGCCTCTGGGGGCACAGGAGAGCTAGGTTCAGTGCCCACCTCTGCGCAGACGCCCTGTGCGCCCTCAGCCAGACACCCCCTCTCTGTGCCTCAGCCCCTCTGTACCATGGGCTGGTAATCCCCTGGGGCCACCGGCTCCCTCAGCCACAGATCCAGTAATGGGTCTGTTCAGCCCCAGCACAGGGGCAGCTGAGAGGCCAGGGATGGACGGGGACTCAGCTCCTCTCTGTGCCCTGGGGGGCCTCCAGGTCTGTGGGGGCAGGATGGGGGAGAAGGGGGGACAGGAGTGAAAGGGCCTTGCCCTGCCCTGTGGGTAGAGACAAATCAGCCTCCAGCAGCACAGAGCCAGCGCCTCCCCATCAGAAGGAACCCCCTGGGCTGTGCCTCCCCTGCCCCCACCCACGGTGCTGCCCCCTCCCCAGGCACTATGTGGTGGTGAGCCCAGCCCAGCTCTACCACCCGCACACGGGGACGGTGTCAGTTCATCTCAGCGACCTCAACGAGACCGTCCGGGTGAGCGTCCGGCTGGAGAGGGGGGAGGGGCTCAGCAATGTCACCCTGCTGGAGAGAGAGGTCCAGGAGCCCCGTCTGCGCGAGAACCTGAGCTTCCAGGTGAGCCCCCCCCACCCAGCCCGGCCCTGGCCATGGGCACCGAGCCCGTCAGCCCTGGGCCTGCAGCCCCAGCCCGGCCTCAGGCCTCAGGCACAGACTGATCCCGGCCCTGGCCATGGGCAGCTGTAGCCACAGAGCGTCCTTCAGCAGCGACAAGCCGGAGGGGGCAGGGATGGGGGCGCAGACGGAGCCTTGGCTTTCAGCTCCACCGAGCGCCCGCCTGCTGGGAGGCCCCTGGCTGGGCGGGAGGGTCCCACAGTTTGGTGAGGGCTGGAGCAGGGACTCGCGAACAGCCCTGCCTCGGGGGACCCGGGTGACCAGACGTCCTGTTTTTAAAGGGACTGGCCCGTATTTCAGCCCTCCTGGAGGTGCCTGACTTTTTCTTACAAGCAGGCAAATTGTCCCATGTTTCCTGTCTCTCTTCCCTGCTCCCACCAGCACCGGCTGGTCCTGCTGCTGGCCAGATCCCCGTTTGCTGGCTGCTGCCCCCCAGGGATGGTGGGGTCCAGTGGCCGATGATGGCAGTGGGAGTGCAAAGCTCAGCCTGTCGCTCCCCCTGCTGTGTCCTCTCCCCGTGGGACCTCTCGAGATACAAAGCTGAGAATCCAGCTCCGCTGTGTGTGTGTTAACTGGGGCCCAGTCAGCTGAT